CCCCCCCCCCCCATGGGATCCTCACTTTGACAGTCGCCAAATAAATGAATTTACAAACCATTGAAAACCAAAGACTTGTTTTTGTAATGTTTTGTAATGTTTTTGTAATTTTGTAATCTTTGTAAGTTCCGATTTATCAAGAGGGTGACATGCGCACCGGGACAGTCGGAGAGCCACAATGACAGGTGCTAACATAACTACCAGTCATTCTACTTGTAATATCCAGTAACACTGCCGTCGCTAGCTTTAGTTTACCTTAGTATCAACATCTGCCAAACATTCTTTACGAAACTGATCGAATATTCCTTGTGATTTCAGTTTCTTCACAATCTCTTCTGTAATTCTTGGGTCGCCGGGCGGCAACGAGGATAAATCTTGGCTCATTTTTTGAATTGTGTAGGCTTTCAGCAAAAGAAAATTGGGGTTAGATGGGCGCCGCCATTTTGGATATGCACATAATTAAACATTTTGCAAAAGGGGGTGACAATTTCAATTAAATTATTGGAGACAAGTGGCATAGGTAAATGCTACCTTCACGTGATAAATTGAATGGTTTTGATACAATATGCTTTTTAGTTTCAGTAAGTTATGTTATAACAGCAAGTAATCGAATTGTTTACTTCGTACTGTACACCTCCTCCCCCTACAATCCATACGACTTCCGCTTATGTAAGTCCCGCGGTACATTATTGGTTCACCACGAGAGCGGCAATGGACGGCAATCTAAGGGTCACAGTAGAAGCACATCGAGTGGATATGCGGTGATGATCAGTGATTTTGAATGGTGCTTAGGAAACAACTTGGCTTCAGGATAACTTTACATTATGGAGATCACAGAGGCAGAGATTGACGAGTATGAAAGTTTACCCCCAACCAGTTCCATGACCACGCACATGGCTGCTGGGGCGCTGGCAGGGATTATGGAGCACTGTGTTATGTATCCGGTTGACTCTGTGAAGGTGGGGTGTTTAGAAGTATATATGGTCATTTTACATGTACAAATTTTTACGAAATGTGTTACAACTTACATGATTTAAATTATACAGACATTGTCATGTCACGATGACTGACCCCATATCAATAATTTGACCCAGTTTTCGTGTCAGTTCCTGTGTCGAATGACCCCCCCTTCCCTGTGTTAAAATTTGGTTGAAATCATCACGGCGATAATAACATGATGATAACCTCGCCTGTATGGTGACTTTGAAATAGAATGAAAGCACGTTTCTAAAGTCCATATGGGATAAGCTGATTGATTTTTTATGAGGGTGATTATAAAACTTGCAAGTCATTCCCCTACATTCACAAGTTGTCTTTTATTACATCAAGTTGTGCAAATTCTTCATTGTAAAATCAAACTATATTGTTATTAAGCAAATTTAAGTCAAAACCACATGCTTGACATCTGCTGTTATGATAGATTGTGGACTGAATCTACTTCAGTGAGATGTTTGGATTGCTTTCTTCACTCAACTGACCATAGTCCAGTCAAGTAGACCATTGTGTAAACATTAACATATTTCTGTATGAAATACATCAAAGCAAAGGGATAAAATCATAATTAAAGCCTAGATTACACATGCCATGGGTGCTGTCCAATGAAATGGTATATGATTTTTTGTAGAATTTTTTGGCAAGTACTTTTGCATTAAGTGCCAGTGCAATGCCATTTATACATAACTTTCAGATCATGTAGGAAAAAATTGGGTTTTCAGTTGAAAAGTGACCGTACAGAGCCCTGATAGTCTCTGTCCAGTTATTGTACACCTTGCTTGCGGCATCCTTGTCAGTTGAAGATCAATACATTGTCAGTGTAGCCCCCAATGATTTTTTCACCCATTTGACCAGAATAAGGAAAAGCACAATTTTAATTCATGTAAAACATCTTTGCTGCTGTAATGAATTCTTAAAACAGTAAAGGTGGAAGAGAAAAAGGGCAACAACAGGTTCAACCATTATCAAGATTACCATAAGTATACTGAACTGAGCTTGTATGGGAACTGTATGATACCATCTACTATAATGCAATAGCCTACAGGCTCATTATTTCAAAATTTGTCAAGAGCTTTAGCTTGACAAAATCATAGAGGTTACGTGGGCCATTAATCTGTACAATTTTGTACCATTGTGTATGGCTACCGCATTGCTTTTGCACTGACTCTGTATGAAATGGGATTTACAGTATACAAGCACTGCAAGGACAATGCATAGCAAATATTATACAGGCTTACAGGACACAGTCACTGATGGATCCAGCTAAAATAGTTATTGGTTTTCTAATCATAAAGTGTACAACAGGCAAGTTTTTAAAAAGTCCATTGTAGGGAAATGGTCAGGGAAACATGTCTATATAACAATGATCAGTCCAGTGTTCCATATGGAATCTGTGGCAGAACTACTTGCTAGATTTATGCATCTGTTTTGCTGACCACTTCTCTGCTGACTGACCACTTTGGGCAGTTGGAATGATAAATCATACTTAGGTCAAGAGGATTCTGATTGATCAGACATTTTATAACTTTGTATTGCTCACAGGTTTATTATGTAATCAAACATACCTGAAATCTTGGCTTTACCAGTAATAATCATTCAGCCCAGTTGTCACCATTATGTGGATTTAACAATCGTGTTCCGTTTAGTGTGACAAACTGCAGTGTTCATGCAGGACAGTTCTTTGTTATGGATGTCCTGTGACGCAGGTAAGAAAATGACTGCAAAGGTGCATCACTGTCATTTCCCTAACTTTGCTAAATCAATATGATCTTTATTAATGTCAAACTTTTTATTGACTTTACTATAAATTCTTTTTTTTTAAAGTTTTCTAAGAATCACTTTCTCAAGGTTTTAATATGGGTTTGTTGATGGACCAACAGTGTTTAGTTCTGTTAAGATACTGCATGTATCAGGATTTATGGGATGAATGGTGATATGTCTGCTGGTAAATTATTGCCATTTACAACTGGTGTTGAAAGTGGGAAAATAAGATTGGAAAGGTTAATGGAGGTTTAACAGTTTTATGCAAATGTAGCAGTTGATTTGCTTTTGGCTGAAAAAAAAAAATCAAAATCACATCTAAAAATTATCATCAATTTGGGAAAAAGTGAAAAAAAAAAAAATGAAAAATTTCATAAACATAGACTTGCTACTAGTATGTTCACCTAAATCTTAAATGATGTTGGGCAGTAATTGCAATCAAAAGATTAAAGGATTTTTAACAGTGGATGTAAAGTTAAAGACCTAGGGGATATTTCATGAAGCCTCCCTCTGTCTACTTGTATTCTTCTTAGCAGATTTGTTTGCTGAATCTCAGTCAAAAATCTACAGCAAATTTATGCAACCCCACTGCAGTATTGATGGCTAATGATAAGTGAAGAAACTGGCCCTTTGGCAAGGGTTTTATACTTGCATTATAAATGTTGTCGTGGGGGTGGGGGGGGGGGTGGGGGGTAGTAATAAAAGACGCATGTTACTGTTTAGTCACATGTATTTTATTATCCCTTCTTTTTTGTGAAGTTTGGAATGTTGTTATCTAGCCTATCCATGGGTATGCAATGGCTACCCATCAATGGCATGCAGCTTTTGCATTGTTTGTGAATTTGTGTATACATATTTTGCTTGATATCACTGTGATAAATTTCTACCAATTCAAATTATATTTTCCAGACACGTATGATGTGTTTACGGCCAAATCCAAATGCAAATTATAGAAATTTGATGGATGCATACTATACCATTGTGCGTTATGAGGGGCTTCGTACTACGTGTCGTGGTGTGAGTGCAGTGATTGGTGGAGCAGGGCCTGCTCATGCAATGTACTTTGCCTGTTATGAAAAACTCAAGTGGACAATTGGTGGCACAAGACAAGGAAATCCTCTTGCTAATGGTAAGATCTAGCTAGAGTGGTGCAAGAGGAGATATGACCTTGCTTAATTTGTCTTATCACCTCTGCCAAGGAGGTTATGTTTTCACCCTTGTTTGTTTGTCTCTCTGTCTGTCTATTTTCATGATTGAGATTTGAATAAAACTTTGAAAAATTTTATTAGACATATATCATATAGGATAGAAATTGACTTAATGTCATCCATGTTTTTATACTTTCAACATTACCTCCAGTGTTTTTTTTTTCTTATTGACTTATGTTATCTTCCAAATCAAAGATTTTGTTCATTTAAGCTGATATGGTAGCTTTACACCTCCTCTCTTATATCACCCTTTGAGAATTTTGATCCCCACTTAGGCAACTAAAAATGGCTTGATTATTCCTTTCCTCTCCTGATCCTTTTACTCAGTGACATTGCAATAGAATGAGAAGGAAGCCATCTCTGACCATGCTTTGGGTATTGAGTTACATGTATGCTGTCCAGTTTTGATAATCATGTTGGTCATTGAACCATGTATGTAGTGTCGTTGATGTTTTTATTTCTTTAGCTGTAGCCGGGTGTGCAGCTACACTGCTGCATGATGCTGTCATGAATCCTGCAGATGGTAAGTGTGTTTTGGAAAATCATTAATCATGCACAAATCAGTGGTTTCACTGTGACACTTTTATATAAGGTCTTTTCATATCAGCGGTATACTATACTTAACTGGTCTGGTCCACTAAGTTTGAGAGATTGTCACTTGAATAACCTGGCTATAAAGTAAGAGGTTCACCTCCCCCTCCTCCCCTCCCCCTCCATGTAGTAATTAAACTAAAAAGAAGAAAGCAAACTTGTGGATAACTTGTAGAAAAGGAGTAGTAGCCCCTGTAGTGTAATTACAAGTTATAGCCTTTAAATGGATCAGCCCAGTAAAGAAACCACTTGATGTGAAAATGGCCCCCAGATAGATGGCAGCAGTCTGTTGTGTCATCCGCATGTTAAATGCGCAGTGCCAATAGTGATATAAAGTAGAAACTTGTTGATTCCATTAACTTAATGCTAATGCACAGTAGTAAGTGGTACCTATGATTACCAAGTAAGTGCTATTAGCAGAACTTAAAAATAAGTAATGTTATTCTATGGGAATTAACTCTTGTTATTTATGACGTGATTTGTACCTATGTGATTTATTTTCCATACGTTATCATTTTATTACTTGTATTTGTACATCAAGAAAAATCTACCAGAGAAGTCACATTTTTGTACCTAAAATGACTATAATTATAGACATGGTGTTATTGAACATACATTTTGAAATATACCACATTATTTTCATCTTCCTTTCAGTTATCAAGCAAAGGATGCAGATATTTGACAGTCCTTACAAATCCTGCACAGATTGTGCAAGGACTATATTAAGAACTGAAGGCATAAAAGCTTTCTACCGCAGCTACACCACACAATTATCCATGAACATACCCTTCCAAAGTATTCACTTTGTTTCATATGAACTAATGCAGGATGTAATGAACCAAAAAAGGGAGTATAACCCCATGAGCCATTTACTGTCAGGTGGTGTTGCTGGTGCTGTGGCTGCTGCTGTTACGACCCCACTCGATGTAGTGAAAACCCTGCTCAATACCCAAGAGAAATGTGCAGTAGAATGTATGAACAGGCGTGAGGTATCTGGACTTTTCGCAGGTTTTGCAACTGTATATAAGTGTTGTGGATTTGGAGGATATTTCAGGGGACTCCAAGCACGTGTAATTTATCAGATTCCTTCTACTGCTCTCTCATGGTCTGTATACGAGTTCTTTAAATATTTCATTACAAAACAGAGAGCCGAGGAAGATGATGGATTTACAGTTGTCTCAGCAGCAGCAGCAAAGATAGATTAGATCATACCAGTTCTCAAAGATTGATAACTCTCAGAAGTGTTTTTATTTAACCCTTTGTATCTGGAGATCTCACGAGACTAGTCAAAACACAGCACTGCATAGGACAGCATTTAAGACTGGTCAATAGCTGAGAATATGGATACTTTTTGTGTTAAGTCAGTTATCCTATAATGGAGCCTTATCATATTTTCATCTCATTTACTCCCAGAAAATTGGAATACTTTGTATTCAGTATAATTTTTAATCTAGAATATGAAGCTTTCTCAGCTAGCCTGTTGTGGATTGATGATTGTGTTTTATAAGTTATTGGATCTGGGATTGATGTGGCAGTACAACTGGTGAGAGCCTTATGTTTGAGATTCTACATTTTTGGTTACTACACATGATCATAGTCATTTATGGGATAGTTTTGTTTTGGATGCATGCAGTTCACTTGTGGCATTTTTTTTCTGGTCCAGAGGCATTTATAAATATTGGGAGTTTAAAAGTTGGGGCTCAAACTCTTGTCAACATTATCATTAATATCACCAAACAATTTTATGATTGGTATGTGTACCATGACTTTTTATCACTAAGTAGCATAACTTCAGTGGGTAGACAGTTCTAATCAGCACTGCCTGTTCTTTAACCAAGCTTTCCACATCGTAACACAGTTGCTACACGTTATGGTCTTTTCATTGTCATACTAATAAATTGAAGAGTGCTGCAAGTTAAGGTTAACTTTGGCTCTGTTGTGTCCATATCAGAGAGGGGTCACAAAAACTGAAATATACGCACAATTACGATAATCAGGGTAGATGACAAATATTTAACCCCAAAAAACTTGATATGAAACTTCAGATACAGACACTGTGTATCTTTTTTGACTTGTAAGGAGAGAAATGTTTTAACATATATTCACTTAGTAAGAATAATAATAATAATGCCATACAAAAAACTGTGATATGTGAAACAGAATTGCAGTATTTACTTTTACTGATGATTGTAACAAGGTTACACAGGTGCTTTCTTAATTGCCCTTTTTATGTACAGACACAGATGTGTCTGTACATATTGCCATCACCTGCGTCTGTCGTCGCCGTCGCCGTCGTCGCTGTCGCCGTCGCCGTCGTCGCCGTGCACTTTCCTTGTAAACACGATAAGTGGAAGGCAGTTTTACTTTTTGGCTTTATATTTACAGAGCTGATGAATATTCATAAAACGCAGGTCAAGTTCGAAAATCAGCATGATCGGGCCATTATTGTAGAAGTTATGCTGTTTTTTTTACTTTTCAGCATATATGCAACACTGTAAACACATTTCAAGGAAAACCGATAGGCCTGTTGTCATGAAACTCACAGGAGTAATAGATCTTACTAAAACGCAGGTCAAGTTCGAAAATCGGCATGATCAGGCCACTATTTTAGTAGTTATGCTTTTTTTTCACTTTTCAGCATATATGCAACACTGTAAACACAATACTAGAAAAACAGATAGGCCAATTGTCATTAAACTCACAGGAATGGTCAATCCTGCTAAAATGCAGGTTGACTTCGAAAATCGGCATAATCAGGCCATTATTTAAGAAGTTATGCTGTTTTTTTTACATTTCCTCAGATTCAATTCTTAGGCATGTTAACAGTTTCATTATTTAATTAATAAGATACATAAAAGTGTTTGTTTGACATTTCCTGCATCTTTACAACATTGTTAGTTGATTTTGTAAAAATGATGGTAATCTTGTTATCGTGTATTGTGTAATAAAGTTTAAAAAATGGAAATAAACTCATATCATTGCAGTTTGTCAGATTCAATCATTCACTATGTTCAGAATCTCAGAATGGAAGAAATTGGACATTTAACACTGCTCTATTGATATTTTTCCCATCTCTTCAATTTTCTTAGTTGATCATATAAAAATGGCAGTAAACTGTTAATTTTGTTGTATGTTAAAAATTGTTAAAAATGGAAAAAAAAAAAAACATTTCAGAACAGTGCTGTCTTGTTTACATTTTGGCATTTTCAAGTTGTGACTTTGAAGTTCCATGGGCTTGAAGACCTTTGCTAGTCACATTTTCTGAATATCCATAATACTAATATTTTATTATTTAAAATTGATGGTCATTATGCTGTTAAATATTATGTAATATTGCATCAAAATTTGAAAAAACCCATTTTGGGCACTGCTCCCATGATGACCATTTAAGAAAAACCATGTCACTTACTGTTCTCAAACTTACAGGAAAGAAACATGGGACTAAAATACAGCTTCAGTAGACAATGCAGTTTGTTAGGTAATTCTTACTGCCAGTTAAACAGTTTTTTTTGTGAAAATTAAATTTTTCACATATTGGCATTTTCAAGGTGTGACTTTGAAGTTCCACGGGCTTGAAGACCCATGCTAGTCACATTTTCTGAAAATCCATGATACGTATGTTTTATTATTAAAAATTGATGGTCATTATGCTGTTAACCATCATGTAATATTGCATCAGATTAGAAGAAAACGCAATTTTGGGTGCCCCTGCCATGATGACCATTATGGGAAAACCATGTTACTTATGATTGCCAACTTTCAAAAATGAAATACAGGACTAAAATGCAGCCTGAGTTGGAAAAGTGGTCTAATTGGCTTCTTTTTCTGGAAGTTATACATTTTCAAAGTGTAAACTTGAACTCCCATGGGCCTGAAGCCTTATGCTTGTTACACATTGGTATTACCTGTTGAGCATAATTAAAATTTGATGTTGAATTTGCAGTTAACATAATGTTCTTATGCATCAGAATTGACAGTAGCCTATTTTGTGCATAGTTATTTCCTGTTTTTTGTCTGTACATTTGACAGCTTTGCTGCCTTGTTTTT